GGAGGCGTTCTGCCTCAGCGGTGACGGGGAGCGGCACAGTCGGTGTTGGACGCGGCCTCCAACAGTCGCGGCAGAGTCTGGGCTCAGACCAGCCTGGACGTGAGCCTGGACGTGAGCCTGGACGTGAGCCTGGACGTGAGCCTGGACGTGAGCCTGGACGTGAGCCTGGACGTGAGCCTGGACGTGAGCCTGGACGTGAGCCTGGACGTGAGCCTGGACGTGAGCCTGGACGTGAGCCTGGTCCGCGCGGCTGCTGCTGCGCCTCGCTCTCTGTGCCATGGCACTGACCGGACCGCTGCCCGGCCATGTGTCCCGCTCAGATGCTAACGCAACGGTTGAGCGCTAATAAAGAAATGCACCGTCACTGACCACTGGGAGCGTAGCTGCCGTCCAGGTTTTGACGAGTTCCAAAATAAAGCCAAATAAGAAGTGATGTGACGGAAACGAAGAGACAATGAAGTGGAGAATTCCACTGAACTGGGCGTCAGTGAAGTGAGCACAGCTAATCAGCACGGAGTATTCATGTAAGAGAGCAATTACAGCCACCGATTTTTATTTTAAATGTGTCAGAAATACTCTGTTATACTACAGTATAATGTTCAACCACAGTCCTATAAATATAATAAACATATATATATATTAAAGATGTTTAAATGAATCATGATTAATGGTGATAAATTACAACTGTGAATAATTGCGATGAATCGCGACTAATCATGATTATTCAACAGCTATGCTATGATTAATCAGAGCCCAATATATATTGGCAGCCTAATATATATATATGTATATAAACAGAGGTCATTATAGACCCTAAACATAAATCACAAAAATAAAGACCAAGGCAGTAAGTGAGAAAATTATAGACCCTAACCATAAAATAATAATAAATAAAGACCAAGGCAGTAAGTGAGAGAGCGCCCCCTCCCTGTGGTTCCCAGTCTAACTAATCTCCTTCTGTTGTGAACAGAACTAAATATTTCCTTAAAAACATCTGTTCAAATCAGTGAAGTTTTCTTACTGTGAAGAAAACAAAGATTTTGAAGTTCCTTCGTCTTTTCTTTGGCGTCCCTCTAACCACTGCCCGCCCCCCACTTTGGGAACCACAAGTGTTTATTTTCCCACTCACATGTTGCTGATTCAGGAATCAAACTGTCGCCCTCACCTCGGCCACCTTTACAACACCAGCTCTGGATGTTTGTTTTTTTCTTTTCCATTATTCTCCGTCTGGCCTTGATCAGCGACCGGGGAATGATTAATGACCGAGGCTAAACATGCTGAGCTGCAAGTTAGAGGAAAAAAAAAATCCCTGGATGTTCAGCAACAACAGGCAAATATTTACTTAAATACTGTGAAAACACAAACAGCCACGGATCAACTGGAATTACTGCACCGGATTTGAAATACTACAGTAATTTGTGGGAACACAGAGTTATTCCTTTGTATTTTTTTCTTCATTTCTCTGCTGCCGCAGTCATCGGGGAGGGGGTCAGCTGCCCCCCCCCCCCCCCCCCCCTAATCCCACAGGTTTTCTGGACGTCGGCAGCTGGACTTCCTGTCGATCTCCAACATCTGCATTTCCTGATTAGCGTTAAGCTAACGTGTGCTACGGCTCCAGTCACCTGTTCTAGTCTGTTCTAGTCTGTTCTAATTGGTCTAAAATCTGGATCAATTGATTTCTGGCTCCTCGGGGAAAAAATCAACAAACAGAAAATGAACAGTGAACGCCTCCCAGAGTCACCTATCGACGTTTGATGCTCATTAAAGCCACAGTGACGTGGTCGTAGCTGGGACGTCGTGTCGGTGTTTACACACACACACACACACACAAACACACACACACTCATTAATGATCCAAAAATGCAGACTTTCAGCTCCTGTTGACCTCAGCTCCAGGCCTCGACACACTCACTTACACCGTCTTTCCTCAGACGTGAAGCGACGGCGGTCTCGTACACGGCAGACCAGAGGGCAGCGGAGGTCAGTGAACGCCTCAGCAAAGGTAAACAATGATTTCACTTCTCCTCCTCAGCAGCTGCTGCTGTTTTCAGACAGTGCAATCCAATATTTGGACGTCCAAGAATAAACCTACTGTAAATGTACTTCTGTAATCAAATATATATTTTTATATATATTTGTCTCCAATCTTCTGATCTTTCATCTCATATTTTCTTCATTTTTCCAATCTTCTGATCTTTCATCTCATATTTTCTTCATTTTTACTGGTTTTAAATCAGATTAAATGTGAGCAGCCATTTTTGCTTGGTTGTTGAGTATATGCCGAAAAACTGAAAAATAAACAAAAAACAGCACCCACTACAGGTCAGGTACTGTAAAGGCACCTCACACCAACAGTTGAGGCTCACATTCACAGCTCAGAAGGTTTGAAAACATTTTTCTCCAAATGGACTCCGGAGCTGAACCTCCTGTGGGGCAGGGAGGTCGTTCGTCCAGGGGTAAATTGTGTGGAGCTCAGCATTTCTGCCCTCCAAGACCTTTGGTTTTTTTAAATATTTTTTTTCTTACTAAGGTTGAATTCTCTCCAACAACAACAACAATAACAACACAGTGAATCTGAGATTATTCCACCACAAAATGAGTCGAACCTGAGATTATTCCACCACAAAATGAGTCGAGGCAGCAGCGTGCAGCCGCCGTCGTCATGAATCCACCTGAGAGCCCTCTGTTTTAATTGCCCCATGATGCAGCAGCTGCTGCTGCTGAGAGGAGGAGAAGAAGAACAACAACAACCTTTATTCATTTGGTTCGATGACAAGGAGACGTCGACTGAATGAAGACGTACTTTGTAATCTAGACTATAATCTGACGGCTGATACTTCAGGGACGCTCACGTTCTTTTATTCCTGATTATATTTTAACAACACAGGTGTCAGATATTCATGATGTGTGGAGAGAGAAGAAGGTTCAATTCCCATGTCAATCCTTACATTTATCATATGTAGTCTGATCTAATCCAAGGTAATCTAATCTGATTTTGTGTAATCTAGTCCAAACAAATCATGTCAAACAAAATCTAGTCTGGTCCGATCCAATCTAATCTAATCTAATCTGACATTAATGAGTTCATGGTTAGAAAATGTTGAGCTGCTTCCTCCCGGTCCACATCCGCTCTTCTGACTTTGCTCAAGGGCAGTGAACGACCATCACCCGCGGGACTTCACTCTGACACAAGTCTAATCTGAGAGGTGGGATTAGAGGTTATCTTGTCCTGCACTGCCCTCCTCCTCCAGCAGGAACACCGGTGCTGCTGGTGTCGTTAACCTCTGTGCTAACTGCTGCTGTGGCGACAGCGTCTTCGAGGACGTCTGACCCCTGCAGACCAAAGGTCATGGTGGACTGTTGATCTGTTTTGGTGTCTTTGTAACTTCAGCTTTTTTTTTTTAGCTTCAGTCTCCGTCACACGTCTCTGCTGGTCTCCTCTAAGTGGCAGCATTTCTGAGCAGCTCCGGACAGATTAGCAGCGTCGCTAACAAGCCGGCATTTAAAAGTGATTGATTTTTTTTTTCCACACAGATCTGAAGATTCAACATTCTTTAACAAAATCATGTTCTGAGAGAATTGATGAAACGTTCAGAGGAGGAGAGTGTGGTTCTGTCACAGCCAGAGGAGGCGCTGCTTCTCTTCATTTAAAACTGTCGTAGCAACGGGTCACAATGGAACATGTTCAGAACCACAGACCGTAGTTTTGGTGGTTAGCATGGTTGCCTTGCAAGGAGAGAGTCCTGGGTTCAATTCCCAGAGAAAGAGAAGAAGTTAAGATGAACTGATGAAGATGAACTGATGAAGATGAACTGATGAAGCTGCCATTGGACTGGTCACTGGTCACTGGTGGCAGACCACCAGTAAGGATTAAGATTGAAGGTCAGAGGTCAGGGAATGTACTGTCTGTGTGGAGTTCTCACAAAGCAAAAATACAGACATCTGTGTGTGATGGATATCAAACCTCTCTCTCTCTCGATGTTTACAGTACGTCTCAGTGTGTGTGTGTGTGTGTGTGTGAGGTGACCCCCCCTCCCCCTCCCTCCGGTGACGTGGCTCCGTTCTCACTTACAGTGGGTTGATTTGACCCTGAATTGGCAGTGATCAAGACGGAGCAGAAATAAAATATGTGGAGCATCTGGTTCAGATTTAGCGGTGCCCTGGGCTGCCTCACTCATCACTCATAAATAAAACACCAGCAACACGCCAACAATCTGTTAGTCAACCAACCACGGACAGAATTTAAATCATTTCTGGCTCCGTGTCGTTTGTACTGAGTCAAAGGTTCAGCGGTGTTGACAACCGCACTGTACCGCGCTAACAAGAGTTGGGTTTTTAAAATCACAACGAAGGGCAAGGGCATCAGTGGTTCCCAAAGTGGGGGTGGACCCCCCTCTAAGGGACATGAAGTTGTTTCTGGAGGTCGTAGAAATGCAAATGATTTTCACAATGAATCATTTTGTACAGATGGAGTTCAGAGGAGACTGACGCAAAAGTACTGAATGTTTCTTCAAGGGGGCGCTGCACACACATTTTTGGGAAAGACTAACTCAGGGAGAGAGTTGATGAAAACAGAACTTTCTTACATCAAATGTAACAACGTTGTTACGAACCTGTACACCGTGTACTGGACTATAGAAAGTCTGAACAAACGTCCTCTGACAGGAGAACACACAGCAAGATTCTGATCGAGTCAAAAATCACATCAAACAAACAACAAAATCCAGATCATGGGGCGTGGCCCACAGACTGGTCGGTTCACTCACAGAGTTGAGGTCCAGGCTGTTCTTCACCCACTCCTTGGCGTCGTTGTACTCCTCCATTAGTCCCATTATGTAGAGTGTGTCCAGGGAGTCGATGATGGACGCTCCTCTTAGACCACCTGTAAAATGAATGAGTCGTCAAACACGGTCCGACCTCGGAGACAGAAACACTGAAAAATACATGTGATCCGACTCTGGTCAATATTTTATCAGCCTAACTGTCAGAGAACGGAGTCGGTGTATAAATAAGTCAACACTTTGACAGTCAGATGACAACACGTCTGCTTCCCTTTTATTCCCCAGTTGTTTTGCCAGCAGAGGGCGCACCGCAGCCAAAGCACTAAAAGAGTTTGCAGCCAACTATTGTTGTACGACGAAGTAAAATGATCCAGATTCACACTAACATTCACACCGATCAATCTTAAATAACCCATCAACCTAGTTCCATAGTGTAGCAGTTATAACACCTGCCTTCCACATCTGCTTTACAGGCAGAAAGTTCTGGGTTCGAACCCCAGAGAAAGCATATACTCAATGGCGCCTCCTGTGGTGTTTGAAAAACAACTAATATATATATATATTTTATGTTTTGTCAAGATGAGTTGTCGTGAGCTGACTGGAGTGAGGCTGACGTTGAGACGTCCAATCAGTGATCAGCATCGACCGCCGTCTGTAATCGAAGAATTCCGATAAGAGACAAAGCAGATAAAAGGAAAACTTTGAAGCGGCGTCACATGCTGAGTTCCTGTAATTGTTGCACTGATGATGAGTGACGACGACAGCTACTGAAACAGACGGCTTTGACCCAAATTAGGAGCTTTTTCCTCTTTTATCTCAGATCGAGGTCTCGGCTAAAAAAAAAACAGGAGCCGTTATTAGATGAAAGACGTGTCGTTCAGGAAGAGCCACCAACGAAGAAGAGAAAAAAAATAAACCATGAGATTGATGACATGGTAATAAACATTACCAGCTGCTCCGTCACCAGACAGAACTTCTCTAGTGGCAGGAGGATCAGGTTTGGTACCAGGGGTCACAGGTTCGAAACCCACCTGGCTGAATGAGCCCTCTGCTCCTCAGGGATGATTTATATTCAGAGGACGAAGTTAGTTGCATAACAATATATGTATATATGCAACGGCTGATTCTTCTTCTACTTACAATACGGCTCAAAGTCCTGGCTCGCGGGCCTCTCCTGGCCCACAAACTTCCTACATCCACCTGACGACTGGACGTATGAATTATAAGTTATTTTTTCCCTTGTGTTTTTTTTATTGTATGTCTCTATTTTGAAATTTAGTAAATACAAAAATTATTGTATTTTACAGCATTTGTATTAAACTGAAGACCACTGCCCCCTGGTGGCAGGACACATGTCTGCCCCACTAGTCTTTGGCTGCACCAAACTTTTGTTAAGTTTGCCTACTGAGCAGCCTGATCTCCATTCCATCACACGTAGCGATGGTGTCAACCGACTTGAAGAATGAAATCAAATATTGAACACCCCCCCCCCCC